TGCACCTGCAATGTGGCAGCTGCAGTTGTTGTGTGTATTTATTCAATAGTTTCCTAGTTATCAGTGGCAGGTGAAGAAGTACAGACGCTGTTTTCTTTAGGTGGGAAGTGGGTGTCACAAGTCATTGTTAGAGACTTGCACTTTTTGAAGCAGTGATACTTAACAGATTCACCATGTGTATTTGAGGGTATCCTTTTTGCTCTTGAACATATTAAAAGAAAAGCAATTACTGCAAGAGATACTAAAATAGATTTCTTTCCTAGTCGAATTTTATGTTAATAAATCCTAGGAAAGCCTTGGTACTCTCTGAATCCAAATCCTTAAGGAACTCTCAGTTCACTGGGGCAACTTGTACTCCTGTGTTTCCATGAGAGTCGTCGTTCCAGGGGAGTCACACTAATTTCCACAGTTAGGGGTAGGGGGGTGGGATTTTCTAAATCTCAGTGTTTACCATTTGTTTAGTCATGAGCAGCTAATTCTGCTCTGAAGTGTAGAGCTTACCATCCCTGGCTTGGGTTGAGGTAATGAGCTGTGTGACACTTGACCAGCCACTTAAGCTACTCGTCTCTAAATTGAGGGATGTGGACTAAAGGGACTTGAAGGCCCCTTCCATGAGTTTACTGAGTAAATATGTACTGAGTGTTGTGTGCACTGGGGATGGGTGGATAAGACAGGTGAGGACCCTGCTCTTACACACAGCTTAGTGGAGTACATAGATGATACTATAAATACAAATACAATGAGGAAGAAATAGCTTTCAGGGATGCTTTGAAGAAAACAAACCAGGGTGATATGAAGTGCTGATGGGAGGGACCGGCATTAGGATGGGAGGTCCAAGAAGGCTTGTCTGAGACACTGAAATTTGAGCTGCTGTCCAGATAAGCAGAAGAAACTGGCCATTTGAATTCCAGGTCATAGATGTTCTAGGCAGAGGGAAGAACATGTGTAAAGGTCCTGAGATGGGTACAGCCCTGGGTGGCGTGAGAACCCTGGGTGATGTGAGAACACTGTGGCTCGATTGTCTTGAGTGAGGAGCACATGTGATGATCAGGGTCCTAGTCGTCCTAGTCAGTGCTGGCAGTCTGGAACTCCAAGACTTGATCGTGCTGTGAATACTTCTCTTCCTAAATAGTGCAAAGTTCAATGTCACATGCCCTACTCAGATGAGTAACAGGGAGTGCCAGGAATTACATTGGGATGGGGTGTGGTCGCTGAAGCTCCAGCAAGATCACAGAGTCTGAAATGAGCAGGGACCTCACTGGCACTAGGAGCCAACACAGTTTTAACACAGGAGGCTGAAGGCCAAGTCGAGTAGTCATGATCAGCATGAGCCAAAATTAATCCATTTTTAAGTTAGCAGAACCACGGAGAGTTCCATAGGCACTATCGCCTCAAAGAAAATGCTGAGCTTTTTCTGAGACTCACATATAAAGGCTGCATAGACTCCATAGCCTAGAAATGTTGCTTTGGTGGAAGGAAGCCACCAGGAAAACTGCTGGGAGGGTTTAAGGAATATGTGACTTTTACATAGAAAAGGAAAGACACAGTGAAAGCAAGAGCAGTTCAGAGGTGGGGAGGGCGGACCTGAAGCCAGCCAGCTTTGTCCTGGTGGGAGGCAGGTGTCTTAGCCATTTGGGCTGCCATAACAAAATACTGTAAACTGGGTGGCTTGTAAATACACAACAGAATTATTGTGTTAATTGTCCTCGTAATTCTGGAGAGAACCCTAAGATCAGGGTGCTAGCAGGTTCAGGATCTGCTGAGGGCTCACTTCGTCGTTCACAGATAGCACGTTTTTGCTGCATCGTCACATGGCAGAAGGGCCAGGGGGTATTGGCCCTCATTTTAAGGGCACTCATCCCATTCATGAGGGCCCCACCCCCATGACCTAATCACCCCCCACAGGCCCCACCTCCTCAGACCATTGCCTTGTGGGTGAGGATTTCACCACGGGAATTGGGGTGAGACACAGGCATTTGGGTCATGGCACCAGGCCTTCCCGGTGTTGCCAGGATGCTGCTTTTTGTGCTTGGATACAGCAGCAATTAAAAATCCAGCTCAGATTGAGGAGCTCTTAAAGACCCACGGAGCTCTCACTTGGCATTACCAGCTGCTGGCATGTGTAGTCTGAAGGAACCCCCTTCTGAGAATGCCCAAAGTCTCCACATCTGTCTCCTGTCTCAACATGCCAGCAGTGTGTCACATAGCCTCTGCCTGCTTCCGCACAGCATTGTTCCTGGTGTGATCTCTCTTTAGGCAGGGAAATCGTTGCTGTCGGCTGTCACCTAAGTGGCAATGTCTTCTCACCTGCCCTTTTAACAACAACTGCTGTGCTCATGTGTGTTTTTATTGGTTGTTTTTTAGTTGTCTTTCATTGTGTCCTGTGGTCTGGCTTTCACTCTTCACGCCATAGTGAAGCATTGCCCACGCTTACGAGTGGCCTCTCATTTCCCGCTACGTTACCTCTTCTGCGTTCTCCTCCGCCTCTGCAGCACACGCCCCTGCAGACACATCCTCACTGCTGTGGCCTGCTCTCCTTCCTTTGAGGAAGCCAGTGATTGCCGTTATTCCTGCTTCCCTGCTACCTCCTGGCTCTGCCTGTGCTCCTCCCCAGCACTTCCCAGCTGGCTTCAGCAGGCTCACTCTCTGTGTCAGTCTTCCCCTGGGAGCTCATACTGTCAGTTTAGCCATTTTTGGCACCAACCCCAAGTACCTCTCTCCAGCCCTGACTTCCCTCCCCTGATCTAGATGTACACTTCGGGCCGTGCACATCTCCCCCTGGATACTCACCCTGGAGGAGCAAGCGTTTCTCCCTCGCCTTCTCCCTCAGCAACTCCAGGCTGCCCTGTGGAAGCCCCTTTCCCACTCCTCCAGATTCACAGGTTCAGAGCCATCCAGCATCCATTTCTGTAGACTCAGAAGGTTCCTGGCCATGTGGACTCTGGGTCCCAGTTGAATGGGTTGAAGAATGATGGACAGAGGGACAGAGGGAGAGATGAAGACAGCAAGTGCAGACGGGTGAGGCTGTAATGGGACTGAGACTGGGGGATGGCACGGAGGAGAGGAACAGATTAGAGAGGGTTCCTGAGGGGAGACAAGATTGCCAAACATTTTTAAACGAAGATGAGAGAAGGATCTGGTAGGGAAGAGGATGGAGGTTAAAAGAAAAGTCTTTCCTGAGTTCCTTGGAAGGACTCAGCAACACCTTGGCTGACGGGTAACATCCGACCCAGAGGTCTTCAGTTAGAACCACTCCAGGCTACAAGTCCTCTGGAAACTTGAGAGATTTGACAGCGTTGGGGTGACAGAGGTCACTGTGTCGTTGGTCATATCGACAAGTCCCTGAATAGTAGTGCGTATTCCAGTGTGGACTGGAAAAGGAATTACGGTGCATCCCTACCGTGGGCCTCGCCTGCCACGCAGCGTTTGGAAAGAACAGGAAGCTTTGTTCTGATAGAGAAGCCATTCTAAGATATTGTCAAAGGAATAACCATGAGATGTAGCAATGTATATTTCTTGTATAAGTACAAGCAAGGCAACAATGTATAAGATATAGCAAAACCCTGTGTCTAGTGTGCTGCCATGTGTGCTTTTAAAAGCCAGGGTGATGGAGAAGTCCGCCCTGATATCTTCTTGTATATCCATGGAGGTGCTCTGGTGGGGCCCCTGAGAAAGCAGCCCCAGTGTCTGAGAGGGCAGGGGGTCCTGTGCAAATAGGATCAGGTTGTGAGGGGCTTTCACTCTAATATCTTTTATATTTTTAGGTTCTTGAACCATATATATGTATTATAACCTCTTTAAATTTTTCAAAACATTTAATTTAAAAAAAGAAAACCTCTAGCAATTAAAGTAGTATTTCCAGCGTTGAATGAAAGCTAGCTTGTTTTGCCAGGGAGGTTATTTGGCTCCTCTGAAATGTCCATTCTTGAGTTTTCTGGTGGCTTTGGCTTATTCTCTTTCACTTTGGAGGAAATATTTCTGATTCATAATTCTTCATGCTCCATGCTCAGGGAACTTCTCCCGTTGCTGATGTTACTAAAAGCCCGATCTGGTTTTCTTACATTTCTTCCCTTTTTTCCCCATCCACTCTGTGCATTCATCACCACATAAGATCATGTCTGGACAATTCATGTAGATAGGATAATTATTTGCATTCTTAGCCAGGCGCAGTGGTTCGTGCCTGTACATCTCAGCTGCTTGAGAGGCCAAGGTAGGAGGATCACTTGAGGCCAGGAGTTTGAGACCAGCCTGAGCACCATAGCAAGACCCCATCTCAAGACGCTGGCAAAACACGCTTGCTGCTGTTCAGCTGTGACATATGAGGGAACGCTGGCAGGATGCTTTGTGTGGTGGGAGAGAGGAGAGCTATCTTCAGCTGCTTAACAGGGCTGTTTGAAAAAGGATGGAACAGGGACAAGTAGATGGACTTTCCGATAGTCCCCTCCCAGGGCAGCTAGAAACAACTCCTGAGTGTCCCACAGGGGCGGTGGTCTGAAGTGGCGGCTGCCACACGGCTCTGTGACCCAGAGAGAAGGCCGGCTACATCCGTGTGTCTGTCCAGTTCATCTTGCCTTCGGAAAAAGAACTTTCGACTACATGGCCTTGGCTCTAATAATAAGGTATTTTCCTGAATCATTTTCCTTTTTTCTTTCAGCTGCTCAAACCTGGAACAGACACTCTCCACGAGATCCATCCTCTCTTGATTCTGTCCTTTAAAAAAATCTCTTAACTGTGTAGCCTCCTTTCAATGAGTTCGTCTCCATCTGTGTTTTTTAGGCAAGGGGAAACAAAAGAGTGATTTTCTTGTCAGACATTGAAAGAGAAAAACTGGCTTTAAAAGTAGACTTTGGCTTTCTAAAGGTTCGAAGTTTTAATGTTCTTATATGAATACATTAAATCCTAAGTGTGTAATGAACATTTTTATCCAGTTCAAAGATGACACTTGGGAGTGAACTGGTGGTGGGACGTCACAGACTACTGTGATTTCAAACTCTCGGCAGGTACATCTCCGTTCATGGATGCATTAACAGCCAATGGGACAACCAGCATACAGACATCTGTTACAGGAGTGACGGCCAGCAAAAGGAAATTTATTGACGACAGAAGAGACCAGCCTTTTGACAAACGATTGCGTTTCAGCGTGAGGCAAACAGAAAGTGCCTACAGATACAGAGATATTGTGGTCAGGAAGCAGGATGGCTTCACCCACATCTTGTTATCCACAAAGTCCTCAGAGAATAACTCACTGAATCCAGAGGTGAGAGGCGCTCTTGGGCTGGCATGGGCTTCGCGCTTCTCCCTGCCTGATTCCCGGGCCTGCTTGGCGGAACTGGCTCTTCCTGTGCTCTTTCTAAACCTTCCCTTTGGGCCATCTCCTGATGCCCACCAGAAGGGAGGGGGCAGAGGAGACATTGCGGGCCTTGCTCCGTGTCACACCTCTGATGGCCGTGAATTCAGGATGCTTGGAGTGTGCTGCGTGTCCATCCCCTTCTCCTGGGTGTGGGTCCACCCAGGGCTCCGTGCCTCTGGTCCACCTCCTGCCTGGAAGCTCTTCATCTGGCGGGCACAGGGCTCCATGAAGGCTCGTGGGAAATGTGTGTGCACGCGCCTTGCTTTAGGTCTCATCAGATTCTTAAAGGGTTCTTTGTTCAGACAGAATGTAAGTGCCCCGGGGATCCCAGTCCCTTCAGAATGTTTACCGTCTTTCCAGTCCCCAGATCCTCCTCAGCGGCTGTAGCGGAACACACAGCGGGGCTTTCCACGCATGCTCATTGCTAGTAGTGCCTCGTAAGGAAGTTTTCTATAACTGGTTGTGGGAAAGGTTAGAACATGAATTTTGTGAAGTTTCTAGAATTGGCAGTATTTGAACCTAACCTATACCTTTCCAAAATGTGAAGTCCTAGTAGTTTATGACTAGCTAGGTTGAGTTTTGTCCAGACAAGAAAACCTAACTACAGAAAGTCTGTGTGTTTGCCCGGGGTCACATAACAAACCAGTTCAAAGTTGGTCCGTGGTACACTTTTAGACTGCAGAGTCCCTTCGTTGGTTATTTTAAAATGCTTCACAGAGATCATTTAAAATGATTTTATGCCCTAAAATTACCTGTCTGTGCTAACGTACTTGGACTTAATGCACTTACGCAGCAAACTGTTTTCTGTCCCAAGTGTAATAGGGTAGTTTTTAAAACAAAACAAAACCGAAACAGTAGAACTGAACGAGTTTCTTTCAACTGGTTTGAATGTGCCACCTGCTGTCCAAACTGGAGAAATGCCCAGTGATATAATAAGCAACTTGCCTTATCTAAGAGCCGCAATGGCTGTAGAAATACTAAGATAATGTAGATTCCCATGTCTTTTTAATTATACTCTAGTTATGTAGTTATATTTTACTCCATCCCCAGCATCTCAATCTCTGGTTACAGAAAAAGAGACGTTTGCAAATTAATTAAAATCATGGTAGATATCAGTAACTATATCAGGCTATGATGCATTTTTCATAGATGCAGATTATCCAGTAATAAAATGCTTTCAGGCCGAGCGTGATGGCTGATGCGTGTAATCCCAGCACTTTGGGAGGCCAAGGCAGGAGGATCCCTTGAGCCCAGGAGTTCAAGACCACCCTAGACAACATAGCAAAACTCCATCTCTACAAAAAAGTTGACAAATTAGCCAGGCATGATGGCCCAAGCCTGTAGTCCCAGCTACTCAGGAGGCTGAGGCGGGAGGATTGTTTGAGCCCAGGAGTTCGAGATGCAGTGAGCCTTGATTAAACCATTGCACGCCAGCCTCAGCAACAGAATGAGACTGTCTAAAAAAAAAAAAATGCTTTTAGGATTTCACACCCAAAATATTCTTTGCCACTTTAACTTCTGGTGACTTTCAGGTGATGAGAGAAGTCCAGAGCGCTCTGAGCACAGCCGCTGCCGACGACAGCAAGCTTGTACTGCTCAGCGCGGTCGGCAGCGTCTTCTGTTGTGGACTTGACTTTATTTATTTTATACGACGTCTGACAGATGACAGGAAAAGAGAAAGCACTAAAATGGCAGAAGCGATCAGGTATGTAAAAATGATGTTTTTTAAACGCTGGTTGGGTGCTTTGTTTTTGGTGTACAAATCCCTATAGAATGGGCCTGACCTGACCAAGCCTCGGGAATAAAATCTTCTTCTTCTTCCACGGAGAGACACGAGCAGCCAAATCAATTAAATCATCTGTCTTTTCTATGGGCTTGCCATAAATTACTACTTGCCTTGGGCAAATAACTGATTTCAAGGTTGGTTTAAACCCAGCAAGTGTTCAGGGAATGTTCTAATGATTAGAGTATATGATCGTGTATAGACAGAGTTCCTATTATTTGTGCCATGAGTATGTTCTGTCTTCAATCCTTAAATAAAGATCTCTTCCAAATAATAACTTAGCATTTGCTTGACTCCGAAGCAAATTGTCTAGGCTTTCTGATGAGATACTTCCGCAACGTCACATGGAGCCCTTTTTGTTTTGTTTTATTTTTAAATACAAGTAGCACACATTCTTGTTCAGGTTCATCCTAAATTCCAGCTGGACAGAGAACCAGATAGTAGGGAATAAAAAGCGGAAGTCCTCCTTCTCCTTCCCTCCCCTCAAGGTATCCAACATTCATTGGTGTGTCTTCCCCAACCTTTTTCTGAACATTTTGTTCTCATGTTCAGTTTAATTTATTAGATTTATTTTTAAATTCACAAGTAAAAATTGTATATACTTATAGCGTACAACATGATGTACTGAAACACAAATACATTGCAGAATGGTTAAATCAAGCTAATTAACATACATATTACCTCACATACTTACCATTTTGTGTGTGTGGTGAGAACACTTAAAATCTACTCTCTGCAATTTTCAAGTATAAAATACATTAACTATGGTCACCATGATGTAAAATAGATGTCTTGATCTAAGCATTTTCAAATATTTGTTTCATATATACACACAAATAATATCAATTTAGTTCTGTTGTTGCTTTGCAACTTGCTTTTTTCATGTGACAATATGACTGAGGTGTTTCTGTTTCCTTGGTTGTTGGATTTTCCTCTGCTATATGATAACAGTGCAAAAAACTCTCTCTAAAACCATTTAATTCTGCTAACAGCATAGCCCCTCATTTATCATGCTAATCACTCTATGTATAATTAGAAGTGTCTGATTTTTCAGAGGTGAATTTTATTTGAAATGGATGAAACCTAGTCATCAACCAGAAAGTTGGCTATGCTTCTCTACCCACCTCCCTAAAATGACAGATCCCCAGGTGGCCCCCATAAGCCCTTTGTGCTTGCCTTTTTAACTTACAGAGGATGACAAATGAAAGAAAACATAGACTTGCAAAATGGCAATAAAATAAATTTGATCTTTTCCAAAATCCCAGATTTCTGGAGGGCTGAAGTTGAACTACTTTTGGCAGTTACTAGGCTCCAGCTGAGCACTGCCCGTGGGGCACTGGGCTTTCTAGCACCTAAACCCTTCTAGAGCTTGCACAGCAGGATTGGTGTGGTGGGTGGCGGGGGCTGTTTTTTCTGTTTTGGTGAGTCTGGGGTAGGCAGGAACGTCTTTCTTTCACGGACACCCGAGATGACTCTGATGGGCACTGCCCAAGAGTCCTGGAACCCGCACCTCTGGGTTGAAGGGGACTGCCTTGGTCTTTCATAACATATTTAATCATTTTCAGAATTACTGTATTTTCTCATATGATGTACACATGTGTTTAAGACGTTATCCCTAAATCTGTTGAAAGTTGCCTTTTATAGGCTATCATATGTGTGGTTTTTTTTCCAGAAGTAGTTTGAAATTTTATTAACAATCTTATTAAGTATTGTTTCTGATCTCCCAGGGGATTTCATCCGTGTGGTACACTAGGTGGGACCATCTTGTTCTTCAGTTTAAGATTAAACTGCTTGATCAGTATCATAAATCCTTGGCTGACTCTCAGCACCTCTAAGACAGCTTCATTATTATCCATTCAGGGTGAATTCCATGAACTTAGCTTTTATTTTTAAAATACAAACCACCGTGCCTCATATGGTCACTTTGTATGTTCTCCATAATGTCCTGCTCAATGTACACATAATATTGTGCTATTTGGTAGCTATGCGGTAATAAGAAAATCAGATGTGTCAGCCAGTGGCTTCTGGGTCCTGGCTCCGTTTTCCCGTGTAGACTTTCCCCTGGCTCCACTCGTGAGCCCTGCTGGTGCCTCACCGGGTGCAGCTCACTCCTCCCTCCAGCATTGAATTCCCTTGGACAGAGGCTGTGGACTTCTGGCGCTGGGATTAGTAAAAGCAGAGGAAAGCTAGATCAAGTCAGGTTTAAGTGGAGATCTCCTTTGTTGAACTTTATGTCACTTTAATAGTTCATTTTCATCAGTTCCCTGCTCACTCCACTCTCCCTACTCCCAACAAAAAGCTGGATTGATATTCTTGTGAAGAGCCAAGTCCTACTTTAGGAAAACCGACTTGTTTCTTCTTCATATGACTATATTTTTGTCAATGTGAATTTTCCTTAATATACTCTGGCAAGATCAGAAAAATAATTAGTTACACCAAAGTCACTTAACCTTTCCTCTTCTTATTTGCATTTAAATTAATTTTTATATGGATAAAAGCCCTTCCTGTGTATATTTTTCATTTCTCTGGTGTCTTGTCTCATGTTCCTTAAAACTTGGAGGCAAAGGACTTCATTGTAGCAAGTTTCCAAAGGAAAAGCGGGAAACAGGAAGATGAGGTTTCGTATTAGGTCACCAGGTGTCTAAAGTAGCTAACTTCGTTACGAGGATTGGTGGTTTGCAGTTTGCAGAGTAATTGCCACAAAAATATTCTGTGCATTGGTGATTAAAACAAAATTATTTCAAGTTCATTGATAGCATTAGGCTTCTGAAGTCTGCCGGAACCAGTAGCTGCCACGGGGTGTCAAGGACCCGGAGACTTCTCTCCCCAGAAGCGAGGTTTCTTCTTCCTCCCACAGAGGGAGACCGGGGGGCCTGCCCAAGCAGTGCCCCAGGGGCAGGAGGATTTGGGAGAGAACAAAGGGAGCCAGTAAACATGCCCCGTGACCCTGACCTGTACCCCATTCGATCCGTTCAAATGAGGGAGACCTCAGCCATGGAAAAGCAGCACACTGGCTGCCCAACCTCAGGTCCCTGCTGCCTCCTTCTCCCCAGACATTCCCTTGACAGTCCCTACATCTTACGTGATTTTCCAACTGTTTGTTGTCTCCAAATTAGTAAATGTCCTTTAAAGGAAGAGTTTTGTTTAATTATAAAGTCTTTTTAGACTAATTATATGGCAAATATCAACCTCCTTCCCTGCCATATCCAACAACAGCCTTGAATTCAATTCCAAAGAAACAAATTTAAATTCAATACATTGCGTGGCACACATTTGAGTGTTCATACATTTTTATTTTAAGTTTAAAACACACTTGGTTGAAGCCCACAGAAGCAGGGGCTACTGGGGAGAGGACCGTCCCAGGCCTGAAGGCGGCCCCTGCCTCACCTCTGGTGCCTTCTGCCTTGATTTGCAGCTCCCTTGGTTAAGCCTTGATGGTCCTGGGAAGTTCTACTAGGCAGAGAAAGCATTTCTGTAAAGGTTTTCTTTTTTAAAACGAAACGAGTCTCTGTGTGTACCACATCCATTGCTGGCATCTCCGGGCTCAGGATTCAGAATGGCCAGTTCCCATTCCCTCAAAAGGGAAGGGGGTCTTTGCCCCAGAGCATGCTGGTTTGTTCATACTCCGCCCAGAAAGAGCCACCAGCTGCAGGGGAAGTCACCATTCCAGGCAAAAGTAAAAATAAAATTTCAGTTCCCAAAAAAAGCCTTCAGCCTATTAAAACCTAAGTTTTGACTTATCAATATCTATTAATATTTTAGAAGCAGATTTTTTTATACAAATGTATGGGCAAGGGGGGCAAGGATATATGAAATAATTCCTTTTGCTGTTTCTCTATAGAATTATCTTCTTATTACCTTGATTTTTATCATCCCTTTTATGTTAATTTATCGCCCCATCCGTGGTTTCCAGATGTCAGCCTGGGCAGCGGCTATAACCGTTTGCCTTCTGTTCCATGAGGCAGGTGAAAGTGGAGCTACTCAGATTTTGGAAACAGCTGCTCCTTATCATGGAGACAGTTCAGCAGTTTTACCTTTTCATGAGTCATCAGTCACTGGGCCTAGGAAATGTATTTCCATCTTGTGTCATTGACCCCAAATCCTCAAAAGACAACACAACTGAAATAGCTTCATGTAGTTCTTCTGGGCTTATTTCAAGAGTCTGCTTAAAAGGTTGTCTGACATTCTGTATCAGTAAACCCTAGTGTGATCTTTCTAACAGTGCCTCAGGCTCTCTCATTTAGAAAGACTTGGTGCAACTCATTCATTTGAATGAGTTAATTCTTGCTCAGTGCAAAGATCCCACAAACCTTGGGGGCTCGACTGAGGTCCAGCTGCTAAACTGCAATTCCTCACCCTCCTGTTCACACACACACACACCCTCCTCACTTCCCCAACCTGCCGCCTCCAAAAAATATGAGTCATCCATCAGTATCTCGGGGAGTTGAGTGGGGAGCTATCTCAGATGCTGAGTCATGATTTTCAGAGAAGATCTGAACAGATTGCTCTGGTTTTAAATGGCTGAACTGTAGAGAGCATCTAGATTGTTATTTTCAGTATTAAAGATGGGGCTCAGGTTTAGAATCCAGCAAGTGAAAAGCTGTCCTTACTCTGCACTTCTGATCTAGAACTCAGCCTGCACTAAAGGTGCACTTCTGATCTAGAACTCAGCCTGCACTAAAGGGACTATCTTGTATTTATTCTTTTGTCTACTGTGTGAAATCATACGAAGAAACAACCTCTGAGCATAAAATCAGCTTCTAGTATTCGGGGGAAGAAAATGCACATTCCCAAAGTGCTATGACACCAAGCTACCCTACATTGAAAAGCAGCCTACTTTTCCAGCCTGATCTAAAGCAAATCCCAAAATAGCATTAGCTTGATTTATTAAACCTCCGTCCTGCTCAAAGGTGGCTCCACGCCTGACCCCCTGTCCTCCGAACTCCTGCTGCAGCCGTCCCCTCCAGCCCGCAGTGGAGCAGGATGTGGGTAAGGCCTGGGCCCTGTGCTGCTTGCTCTTCTTGTTTGCAGGTCTCCTGTCTTGAGCCAGCCTGTGAGACTCTTGTCTCCATGTCCCCCAGACTGTTCAGTCCACTCGCACGTAAATTCAGGAAATAGCAGTTATTGCCAAATAATCAGTGAGCTGTGTGAAATCAGGAGCCAAGGCCAGACCCAGATCCCAGGGTTTTTGTGACCCCTAATCCACTACTGTCCACTTAACAGCAGGCAGTCTTAGTACGCCCTGGCAGATTTCCTCTGTGACAGCTTCTTGATTGGTCTTATAAAGCCCAGAATATGTACTGGGCTCCGAGGGAGACCCAGGGTGTCTTCGAGGGAGGATGGGTTGGGGAGCAAGCTGTGTTGTTCATAGAGCTCGAGAGCCACCTGCAAAGGCCAACGCAGCTCATGGCTGCGTGTTACCCTGTGGCCTTCACGTAGGTCCTGTAGCGACAGCCACCACATGCGTGGGCTGCGGGCTGTCACCAAACCTTTACAACACATAGTAAATAAGTCTAGGGTCCGCAACTGCTGGGGAAGGCCTTAAACAAATCTCAGGTCTTCATGATTTCCGCAGCGTTTACATCTTGGTAAACTGAATTCCATAATAGACTTTTCCTTTGCTCAAATATGCAATGTTTTGAGTAATTCCCCATTTATTTTTCATTTTAGAAACTTCGTGAATACTTTCATTCAGTTTAAGAAGCCCATCATTGTAGCGGTCAATGGCCCAGCCATCGGGCTAGGAGCATCCATATTGCCTCTTTGCGATGTGGTTTGGGCTAATGAAAAGGCTTGGTTTCAGACACCCTATACTACGTTCGGACAGAGTCCAGATGGCTGTTCTACCGTTATGTTTCCCAAGATAATGGGAGGAGCATCTGTGAGTACCTTTAAAAAAAAAATCATTCTAGAAAGCTTCCTGAAGAAATCTGGTTTGGTTATTGCTTTTCTAAAGCTGTACAGTGTGTCATTCTGTGGGGACTTTTCATCTTGTAGTTCAGATTTGGGTTCATAGACGTTGTTGACCCTTTGTGCATCATTCCCTAGAAAAGGACTTCATTCATTGAGGAGCCTACCCTACCACTTTGCATAATTCACACTGATATCTACTGTTAGTAAATATCCAGTCTGTAACCCAACCAACAATTTGCAATCGAAAAGTTCTTCACCTAATAACTTAAAAGCTGCACTTTTAAGAGAAGGCAATTTTAAGAGGGAGCAAAGTTACACAGGATTAGAGGGTTGTCTTGCATATAATTGTGTGTTTTTATTTCTTCAGCTGTTTAATCCGTTCATTATAGTAGTTTGTGTTTGTATTGTAGCTTGTGATTTATCAAGCAGTTATTCACATCTCATTCCCTAGTCCTTGAAATAGGGCAGGAGGTGGTGTCACAGGTCAGGTTCTCCAGAAGCAGACACTGAGATGAGTTTGGCACATGGAGAATTGGCAGGTATTCAGTACCTGTGGAAGGGATGGGGAGGAAGCAGGACCGGTCAGAGGAAGAGGTCAAAGTGGTACTGTGTCCATCATCCTTGGGTGTGGGATGCGCGGGAAGCATTGTGCCCCGGACGAGGTGGCTCCCTGCAGCTGAGGGCGTCCCTAAAGGCACCCTATGGCCGTCTGCCAACAGCAGCACCCGCAGCCAGGCAGCCAGGCCTCCCCAGGAGGGATCATGGCAGCACAGTTCCGTGTTCACCCCAGTGCCATTCAGATCATTCATGTACCTTTTGGGGGTCAGCTCCTTCAGGTTCCAAGGGGCTTTCTTTCTGGGAGAAACTTGGAGGAAGAAGATTAGGCAGCAATAACTTGCAGGCCGGAACCTGAAATGTTTAACCTGGATGTTATAATCAGTGGGTAAAAGCGTGATGAGAAAAAGGATGTTTGGATCCTCTCATTATTTGTAGTGGGAAAAATAGTAACTTTACAGTAGAGAAACCTGGTGGGTACCACCTTCCTGAGTGGTCAGAGTTCACAGAAATGAGACAAAAGCCAACATGAAGCGCTGAGGGGAACGCAGCCTTCGTCGCTGCGTGGGATTCCTCCTGGAGGTGCAGCAGCTCAGCGCTGCATCATGACATTCATCATGAGGAACGTCAGGCCCGGACTGTGGGGCAGTCTGCAGACGCCGCGCAGCGCTCCTCCAAAACGCCAAGGTCAGAGAAGACGTGGAAAGACTGAGAAACCGTCTCAGACTGGAGTTGACCAAGGGGACATGACAGCTCAGAACATCAGGGACCCTGGATGGGCTCCTGGGCCAGCGAAAGGACAAGAGTGGGAAGGCTGGTGAAATTCACATCGTGTTTGTAGTTGAGTGAATAGCACATTGTCAGCGGCTTTGGTCATCATAAGATGTTATGTGACGTTTTAACCCAGGGAGAGCTGCGTGAAGGTTTATGGGAACTCTGTACTACTTTTGTCATTTTTCCTGCATCTAAACGTTCTCAAAAACTAGAACATTTAAAATTAAGGAATGCAAGAGAGGAGGAGGAAGATGGGTAGGCCAGACCGTGGCCCCCAGTGCCGCACTGTTCTCAGAGCTGCCCTGCTCCTCACCTTCTCCCTCCCCAGGCTAGTTCCCCTCACCCGCAGCTCCCACCTCTGCTGGCCTCAGCAGCTGCCCTGATGCTAAAACACCCCAAGGGATCTGTGGCCTGCTCACTGTGTCCGGCCCAGAGTCGCTGCACTTGTCCACTTCCCTGCTATAGTGGGGCAGGGGAGGAACAAGCAGCACCGGCCTCCATCCCATTTCCCAGGCCGCGTGTCCTTCCATGTAAAGGTCTTTGTACTGTGTGTGCTACAAATCGGAAGATGCTGCCCACCATCATGGAGCCACCTCCAAACTGGCACCTCTCAGGCCAGGCCAGGGCCGTACCAGGCTGGCGGCTGCGGCAGGTGCCGTATGTGACTTAGCCACAGGACTCTGGGGTCCTGCCCCCGACATGGTATTTGCTGTGAGCATGGTGTTCTGGTCACACGCAGCACCCTGAGGCACCCCATGCTGGTGTACTAGACCCTCCATAGCCACAGAGAGTGGTACTGCCTGAGGATCTGCAGGTGGGACAGGCAGACCCAGACCCAGAGGGTGCGCCCACACCTGTTGGAGCCGTCAGCCTGCTGCCCAGCGCCCACAGGCGGGCCTCCCTGGGAATGGTGCCTTGAGGGGCCGCTCACATTGGCATCTCCTGCTGGAAGGCTGGATGCTCAGTAGCAGCAGTGCCTGCATCAACCTTTGATAAATCGGAGACTGTGCTGTTGAAGCCCCTCTTGCCAGCCCTGGGTGGCCAGCGGCCACCAGCCATCTCTCAAAGCTGTTCAGTGCCCACTTCATGGTGGATGCTCTCAGGTGGACAGTGTGAGACAGCAACCTGCACACTTCCCATTCCTCCACCCACCACACGCCTCTGTCCAGGACACCCACCCCTGCTGGGGGCTAGTGTTACTCTAACCTTGATCCACTTTTCCTCCTCACCAGAGGGTGAGCAGGCGCATCTGCCACTGGGGGCATTTTCCTCACCACGTTCTTTTCCAGGCCTGCTGGATGAGGCTCTGGTGAAGTTGCTGTCCCCTTTTTGGCTTGCCGACCCACCCACAGGCCACACTGGGTCACAGGGAGTCCTCCCGTGGCTGTAGGTATGAGCTGAGGCAGGGCGTGGGTACGCAAGGGTTTGGGGGTGATGCAGGGGTCTAGGCTGCCGGCCGATGCCCTCTGGAGCTTGCCAAGCCCAGCTGTGCATCCGCTGTGGGCCCTGCCTGATCTTGCACCTGTGGGGCTGATGGAACTCAGCTCGTGCTGGCCACTTCCCACGTGTGGTCATGTGGGGTCCCGTGATCAGGCGCTCTGCCTCTCCCAGTCCCAGGCAGCACTCCAGGCTTGCCCTTCTGTGCTGTGGATGGCCCCACTGGCTATGCTGCCCCCCCTCTGGCACTGACCACAGGCTCCATATGCATCTTTTTTTTTTGAGACGGAGTCTCACTCTGTCCCCCAGGCTGGAGTGCAGTGGTGCAATCTTGGCTCACTGCAAGCTGCACCTCCCGGGTTCACGCCGTTCTCCTGTCTCAGCCTCCCGAGTAGCTGGGACTACAGGTGCCCGCCACAGCCCTCGGCTAATTTTTTGTATTTTTAGTAGAGACGAGGTTTCACCGTGGTCTCCATCTCCTGACCTTGTGATCCACCCACCTCGGCCTCCCAAAGTGCTGGGATTACAGGCGTGAGCCACCGCACCCGGCCTCCATATGCATCTTATCCCACCCCTCCCTACTCAGCCCTGGCCTTTCAACCTCACTCAGCAGGGTCCCCACCTCCCTCATGCTTCCAGTAGCCATCCCCACAGCCGGGTCAGATCATCTCCTGGGAACCTACCAGGGGTAAATCAGTATCCCAGGAGTTGGTCCTACATCAGTGAACTCTCCTGTCCTACTTGTGGTTGGGCTCCAGGTCGGGCTCCCTGAGAAACCAGACCCTCGTGTCTTCTTACAGCTCCCATCTGCACCCTTGGCTGGGCTGTGCAGCCCCTTTCAGGGAAGAGGCGAGTTACAGGCCTGATGCCAGCAGAGGGGATGGGGCAGGTTTTGGGGGGCCAGTGTTGCCTTGCTGAGAGATGTTTGCCTTACCTTCTAGCAAGGTGAGCTTGCATGTTCTGATAGGGATGGGTGGGCCATGTCCCTAGGCTCAGGGGTTCAGAGGAAGCTGGAGTTCGAAGTTGGGGGCATTCACCCAAAAGCACCCATCGCAAGTTCTAGGGTACCTCCCCACCCCTCGCAAGCTGACAAACCTTCCTCCAGTGGCTGATTAATCTGGGTAGAGCTTGACCACTCTTGTTGACAAGTCCAGGGGCTAGGGCCAAGTCTCAGCCCTCTCTGCCTCTTGCTACTGGCTGCCCCTCTGCTTGCACCCATGGTGACAGGCAGTCCCTGTCCCTCAGCTGTAAGAGTGTTAGCACGCGGACGGCCCCCTGTGCCGAGAACTGTGGCTTCTCCACCTGGCCTGTTAGGGGTGGTCCTCATTGCCAGATGGGGAGCTGTGCAGTTTCTGAATCCTCCTCGCCCTCGGTTTGTCCACTCCCCCCGTCGCAAGATGGTTTCTCTGGAAGCTAAGATGGATTTGGGAAGCAGGGTCTGGTAGATTAGGTGTCAGCGTCCCTGGAAGGGCAGAAAGGAAGCAGGATTGGGCAGAGCTGACTGACAGGGAGCTCTGGAACCATGTGGCCTCACGGTGGTTCCGGGTGCCCCACTGCGGTTGGCCGTGGGGTCGGCGGCCCTGGGAAGAGCGGTCCATGGGGGGAGGCCCTGAGCTCTCTGTTGCCTGTTGACAGCATTTCCCACAGCAGGCAACTTGCTGGGGTGGGGACGTGGGTGGCTTATTCGAGTCGTTTGCTTTGTCCTTTACACCGTGCTGCACGCACCGGACACCACCGGACTCCCATGGTAAAGAGTCATGATCAGGAAAATGAGTTCATCATGGTGATGACTGTAAACCACGCTGTGTCCTGCCAGTTACCCTGTCCCAGCAAGAAAGAATCCTCATCCTGCGGAACATCCCGTGAAGCTCATTTTGAGGGATTTATCCAAAGGAGGTTGAGATCTGGGGTTCTGACCCCTCCCAGTGTATGATCTACGTAGATGTGTGGTGTCGGTGCAGATACTAAACCAGCTTGATGTTCAGACACGCTTTGGTCGTGGAGCCGGGGGCTGAACGCTGCTCGGGGGTAGCGGTCTCAGAGCTCACCATGCCCAGAAAGGGCCGCGAGGCTTGAAGTCGTTACAGAACGGATGCCTGCCCTCTGGTCAGCCTGTTTCTCCCCACTCTACAAGCCCTGACAGATCTTTACTTCTCGCTTCCCCTTGAAATGTACTGGTGCCTCTTGAGCTGCTGTTTTCAACTGGGCCGTTTTCACCCCCCGACCTCACCCTGGGGGACACATCTGGGGGGCAATGTCTGGAGACAACTTGGTTGTCACACATGAGATGGCCATTAGCAGAGGCTGGGGTACTGCTCAGCACCCTGCCTGTGGCACACAGGACAGCCCCCACACCAAACAGCAGGCCAGCCCGGAATGTCCCTAGTGTCCAGGGGCAGAAACCCTGCTCTAACTCAAGGGCGAAGAGCCCACATTTCACTCAGCGTGAATTCCGCACTTTCTGAGAGAGTATCTGACGAAGCCTGTCCACAGAAAGTGAATAAACGCTGCTCATATGACTTGTGTTGTGACAATCTTGTTGGAAGTGACTATGTAAATGATGCCGTTCCTTTCATGAGCCTTCGGTGCATTTCAGCTTTCAGCAGCCTGAGTTAAGACTGGGACGAGTGTGGTTTTCCCCACTTTGCGTGTGCAGAGCTCTGCCAGGAGGATACGCTAAAGGAATCACATTATCAAGATAAAAGGAACATGCAAATCGTGGAGGCTGTGCGGCCTCTGCTTTCTCACACTGTCTGCTGCAGGCCCTCAGCTGTAGGCGCGGCTGTGTACATCCGCCGAGGAGTCTCTTCTAGTTCAGCCTTCCTGGTGCCCAGTAGACATTCATGGAATGCACAGAGGATGGCACAGTCCGACGCCCACAGGCTTCCACGTGGACAGCTTGCACCTCTCAGGGGCTTGCTGAGGTGTGAAGCTGGAGAATGCCCAGCGAGTAGCTCGCACCTTGAGAGCCGCCTCTTAGGGACTTCACAGACTGGCCTGAGGGAGCAGGTGGTAAAACCTCTGCCACAGCCGTCCCCATAAGGCTGGAGATTCCTGGATCCCCTGTGCTCATACTGGGCCAGTTTCCTCGCCACCCCTCCTACTGTACTCTGGCTGAACTAACAAGACATCTCTATTTAACCTTCGTCCGGCATTTCCCATTTCTCTGGATGGTTACACAATAGCTTTTTTTTAAATAATTGGACAACGTTGACCACATCATGGGGTGATGTAGGTTGTCTACAGGGAGTCCCTGTGCACTCAGCCATCTCAGATCATCGTGCTAGCTGGTCAGGTTCCCACTGACCGCATCTGTGTGAATCTGTTATTCGGGTAGAAGTTTAAAACTTCTCATTTTAGAACTACTGAAAATAATGTGTTTATAGAAGAATATGCTCACGCAAATTGAGTAGATTTAATCCTCTAATGCAAATCTTACCAAGGGAGATTGAGTAGATTTAATCCTGTGATACAGATGTTACCGAGGGAGATTGAGTAGATTTAATCCTGTGATACAGATGTTACCGAGGGAGGTTGAGTAGATTTAATCCTGTGATACAGATGTTACCGAGGGAGACTGAGGAGATTTAATCCTGTGATACAGATGTTACCGAGGGAGATCTGTTGTTGTTTTCTTGGGTGACTTGTTCAGACCAACTCACTGGCCATGTTTAAGGAGAAAGCATTAGCGACCTAGCGTCGGCCCTGTCAGTTTTGCTCTTGAGTAAATTGAGAGATGCCCTTGGTTGTCCTGCACATCCAACCGCCTGGAGTGGAGAACACCAAAGGTAGGAGTAGGGAGAGGATCTCCAGGGATGAGCAGGCGCGGAGCCTGCGGGGCCGGGGAGGAAGACCGGCTGCAGTGAGTGAGTGCTGAGCAGAGAGGAGGCCCAGGAGGGTCAGGAGGGGAGGATGAAGGGAGACACACAGGGAAGAGAACAGTAGTGATGAAGGGAGACACACAGGGAAGAGAACAGTAGTGATGAAGGGAGACACACAGGGAAGAGAACAGTAGTGATGAAGGGAGACACACAGGGAAGAGAACAGTAGTGATGAACACACAGGGAAGAGAACAGTAGTGATGAAGGGAGACACACAGGGAAGAGAACAGTAGTGATGAAGGGAGACACACAGGGAAGAGAACAGTAGTGGGGCTGTAAGTTGACCTCCAGGTAGCAGGAAATAAAGTTGGAAGAACTGACTGGGACAGACAGCCAGGGCGCTGCAGGAAGGGCTGGAGAGGAAACCTGAGGACACCTGCCCCTCCTGATACAGCCAGGCACCAGGCCTGGCGGGGTCACTTGCCTCCGCTGCCCAAGTTAAGGCTCTGCTAAGCTGGTCCTGAGAACATACTTCATGCTTAACTTCAGGCATTTGGCTGTAGTGTCCTCACTCTATGCTGAGAGTGAAGGAAACACAGTCTATGAAAGGAACACGCCGACAGCACAGAGCGCTTCCTGTGGCGGCAGCACGCCGGGAGCCCCGCACCCTTTCCTGCTGCGTTGGGGTCTGCACGCCAGGAGCCCCGCTCCCTTTCCTGCTGCATTGGGGTCTGTGCCGTTAGAAGAACTGTCAGAACCACAAACAGTGAGGTCAGGTCACATTTCTAAATCCATTGTCTATGGACCGTCTTTTCACTGAGAAGAAGCTGTTCAGTTCAGGGCTTCCTAGGACTTCTCCAGACTCTTCAGAAACTCATGCCTTTGTCCAAGCTGTAGCTCCAATGACAGACTCCAGTTTAGGTGATCATTAAGAACCTTGCAAACCCTTGGGAGGAGCCTGTCCCCAGCCCTGTTTCCCAGCCTCTGCCTGCGTGGGAGGGGCAGTGAGTCAGCCGCGTGTTTGCTTTGCCACCTCTGCCTGTGTGTTCTCCACGCCGTGGGTTTCACGTGCAGTAGACGGCATCGAGACATTGACAGTAGGTGACTGGGCAGTCTTACACTGTCTCAGCAACTTCAGGGCCTTTTCTCTCTTCAGTGATTTTGCCTCTTTTGGAAATGGAAGCCACCGACCGAAATTGTGTTTTACCAGAGGCCCAGCAGCTCATAGTCAAGGCTTTGTGACCATCAGAGTTGTTAGGAAGGTTAACCAGGCAAGATAAACGGCAGACCAAAAACTGTCCCGTCAGACCAGTGTGCAGTTTCTTTATCAGACATGTATGCACCCCTTCCCGCCTCATCCTGGCACTGTGAGCCTGTCATGTGAGTGATGTAAAATCCATACATGTTGTGCTGAAACCTTAAAAGTGATCTAGGTAAGTGTCATATATTTAAAAAAAAAGTGATCTAGAATCCAGGACAAGGTTAAAATTAATTTCATATATACACATATATTTTTTTTTTTAAAGAAAAACTAATGTTAGCTTTCTCCATTGAGCCATGTAAGATAACTATAGCCAGCCCCTCTCAAGCAGATTATGGTAATTTTCTGACACATTCAAGCCCTGGATAGTTCTGTCTTTTCATATCCAAGCGATGCAAGGCAGCCTCCAAGGTACACTGTAGCAGAAACAGTCACTGCCATTAGAGTATTTTTTTGTGTATATTAAAAACAAGTCACCATTGGCCTCCCAGATAAAGAAAAACGTTTGGTAGGAGTTCTATGCCTGGTTCAAATCCTTAAAATTATAAATTGCCTAACTTTGCATATGCTGATTTTCCCGGGATTGTTTTGTGTGTTAAAAGAGCTCCCACATGGGAAGGGCCGGCATTAGGGGGAGGAAGGCAGATGGAGGAGAGGAAGTTATACCAGTAACTTTTTAAATGAATGGCAAAAAGACCTTTTCTATTTTAGATTTCTTTACTGTAGAGTCCCTGTAATTCTGTAGTAGGTTGTAAGATGACTTTTTTGCGTTCCTTTTTAAGAAAAAATCAGCCCGATATATTACTTTTCCACCTGCCCAGTGGACAGCACCTTGCACAGGGTCTGTTCCCAGTGCCACTGAAGGATGTGCCGCATTTTCCCCGCGGGGCAGTGTTTGTGAACGTCTCTCTTTGGTGTGGATTTTAAGGGATGGGTCTTCCCCGCCCACCTCCCACCGCAATTCATATTACATCCACTCATCTTCCTTGCAGGCAAACGAGATGCTGCTCAGTGGGCGGAAGCTGACGGCGCAGGAGGCGTGTGGCAAGGGCCTGGTCTCCCAGGTGTTTTGGCCCGGGACGTTCACTCAGGAAGTGATGGTTCGCATTAAGGAGCTTGCCTCGTGCAATCCAGTTGTATGTCTACTTGCTTCTGTTACACATGTAGCTTTTTAAAACATAGAACCTTTTCCCTCAGAGAGCTCACACATTTGCGATTATTCCTAAGTCCTTCACATTTGTCCTCAGCAGAGCACCTTCCCGTGAAGTCCTGCCAGAAGCTACTGCTGCCACCACTGCCCCCATGCACACCTTGCCCTCCCTTTGCAAATACCCAGGAGCCACAGAAATGGACTTCAGTCTGAAATGTCAGCAAGTTACCTAATGTCCTGTGAAAATCACCAACTAACATGGACCTAACTCTTTCCTGGGTCCAGAGCCTTTCAGCCACATTATTAGCTTCTCCCCGCTTTCCCTCAGTGGGCCGAAGTTTTTGTTGTTGTTCTTGTTGTTGTTTGTGAGATGGAGTCTTGCTCTGTCGCTCAGGCTTGAGTGCAGTGGTGTAATCTCGGCTCACTGCAGCCTCAACCTCCCGGGTTCAAGTGATGCTCGTGCCTCAGCCTCCCTAGTAGCTGGGACTACAGGCTTGCGCCACCACGCCTGGGTTATTTTATATTTTCATTGGAGACGGAGTCTCACCATGTTGGCTAGGCTGGTCTCGAACTCCTGACCTCAAGTTGATCCACCCACCTCAGCCTCCCAAAGTGCTGGGATTACAGGCATGAGCCACTGTGCCCAGCCTCCTAAACTTTTGTTTCATAAATGTGCTGAATAGGCCAGGCACAGTGGCTCACGCCTGAAATCCCAGCACTTTGGGAGGCCAAAGTGGGCAGATCACTTGAGGTCAGGAGTTGGAGACCAGCCTGGCCAATGTGGCAACACCTCATCTGTAGTAAAAATCCAAAAGTTGGCCAGGCTTGGTGTTGCGTGCCTGTAATTCCAAGTACTCGAGAGGCTGAGGCAGGAGAATCGCTTGAACCCGGGAGGCGGAGGTTGCAGTGAGCGGAGATCACGCCACTGCTCTCCAGCCTGGGCAACAAAGCAAGACCCTGTGTCCAAAAAAAAAAATTAAATAAATACAAATTGTTTTCTTAAATGTACTTCTAACAAAATTGCATTTGGCTAATTGTAAGATACGAAATGTTTAATATTAACTGACACGACTCCCATCTAAACTGTCCCAGGCAGACAAGCAACCCTAATTATGAAAATTACATTTTGTTTAGAAAAATTCCCTCAACAGGCATCCTCAGAGCTTTCTGGGCATCAGCAGAGCAGACGTCCAGTTCGGGGGTCCACGCCAGTGTGCGGCAGTATGCAGCGCAGGCTGGATCCCAACAGCCCAGCTCTCCTTTGAAATGAGCCATTTTGAAGTTAAGAATGTACCCAGTGCCTAGTGTGAAATGTGCTTTATACATCTATTAGGCCTGACATATTGTGAGAAAACGTCTGGTAACCTTTTGAACAGGTGATTGTTGGAATTGGATGATTGCCTCCATAAATGTGGAGGCACAAGGGACCCGTGTCTGCCAGCATGCACCCTGCTAACTAGCTCTTGTTTTCCGGTGCAGGTGCTTGAGGAATCCAAAGCCCTCGTGCGCTGCAACATGAAGATGGAGCTGGAGCAGGCCAACGAGAGGGAGTGTGAGGTGCTGAAGAAAATCTGGGGCTCGGCCCAGGGGATGGACTCCATGTTAAAGTACTTGCAGAGGAAGATCGATGAGTTCTGAGGGTCGGGCTGCCCACTGGTGACACCGGGATCGGGCTGAGCAGAACATCACTGGCTCCAGTTGCCCTGATCCATTCTCACCGCCTGAAACAAGCTCACCCATAGCTCACGCTTGGAAGCAGGACTGGGAACATCCACGCTATTTATTATCAAGGAGTTTTAAAGTACTGTAACCTTAAAATAAATAACTACAAAGCTTCTTTGTCCAAACGTCATTATTTTATACTTAGATACACGCAAGTGTAAAAGTATAAAGATGGGCACTAGACTGCTCTTAGAAGCTCTAATTTTTGTTTTCTTTGGCTAGTACTGTATAAAAAACAGAATTGTGTTTTATTGGTTTTGGATGACAGAAAAGTCTGGAATAATGTTTGTTTTCCTCATTTCTTCCTTCTAGAACACAGAATCTACAGGGGTATTAGCCGGCCTCACCTGCCCTTCCCCACATAGAGACACCGTGATCTGAGGCGTTGGCTTTTTCTCTAAGAAGGTACAGATACCTCAGATTCGGGAAACTCTAAATCAAAAGACTCAGCTTCTAGGATAAATATTTCTGATGAAAAATCCACTGAGAAGCTTACCCTCAAACCAGACATATGCTTAGGATTCAGGCTGAGATATCAATTGGTTTCCGCTTCTTTTTTAAATATGTCCAGTTCTTACCCAGTTAACATGAAGAAACCACTGTCTCTAGAAGAAAGCTTGTTTTGCAGTATTAGTGAATCACTGAATAGCTTAAGTATGACTAAGTTATAAGTTAGTCTTTAGTGGGTTTTAAATAGTTTTTCTGACCCTTCTGAAAAATAACTACATAAGTGCTTCTTGTTGCTGGGTGAGAAGTACTACTTTATAGACAGTTTTGGTTTTCTATTTGCAGATATGATTGATGTATTACACCAAAATAAAATATTTTTATGTTTATAAAGTGTAATTTTTAGGTTCACTTAGAATATATTTTATTTAATAAGTTAAAATTCTTTTGGCACACTATTAAATGCAAAAACTCCTTTCAAAACAAAAAAGAACTACCTTATATTCACCATTTAATGTTCTTGGTCTCTGCTTTATGTCTATACAGTATACTGAGCTCAGTGTGGTGTCCACGAGTGCCCTGTGTGGATAGACACGTGCTCTCCTTCCAGGAGTGGGTACCGACTCCAGACTCCAGATGCCTATTATTAGGCTTCTGAGCTTGCAATCATATTGAATGTATGAAGAGCGAAATAAAATCAAATTCTTATTTTTGTACAGTTTTGAAGTTTATACTTAGAACTGACCACCTCCCCGGCCACGTGGAGAGCTGTACAGTGTGTAAATCTGCCTTTATCTTGGATTGATTAGTACAGTATTTTTGCATCTGTGGGACCTACCTTTTCGTTCCGTAGTTTGAACTATATATAAACTGTACAATCTGTAAAGTTTTTATAGAATAAATATTCAGCTGTGAAAACTGGTTAAATAAAACTAATATTTCTTAACACATCTGAAATGTTTCTCTGATTCTTGTGAGGTTTCTCCTGGGATGTTTTCTCTGTGTGTGTGTGTGTGAAATATACATATGTGTGTAAAGCATCTGTACAGTTTAATGGAATGAAACCCTGCATGACTATCACCTGGGCAGGACCTACAATTTGACCAATATCCTGCCTGGTCACCTTCACCCAGGTGACCATTTCCTGAATTTGTGTCCATCATCCACTTCTTCTAAGAACTTATTCCTATAATAAATTACTTTTAGTTCTACATATTTTTAACCTTTATATCACAAAAAAGCTTCTGTGACTGACTTCATTCAGTGTTACATTTTCTCTTAGATAGAGTTGTAACTTACCCCTCCTCTACCCAAACCTGTCATGTGGCTATTTTCACTCCTGTTTTGCAGATGAGGAACCTGAAGAATTAAACACATGCCCAAGGTCGTGTAGGTAATTTGATCAGGAGTAGCACCAAGCTTTTATCCAAGGTCGATGTGGCAAAGCACATATTCTGACAAAGACACTAAGATGTCTGTTGTAGAATTTACAAATAGGGAACCAAGTGAAATCTCCATCTTCCGAGACTTTGCATCCTCTGGGCCTTGTGAGCCACCTCCCCTTTTTCTGAAACAAATCTTCCACCTTTCAACTTCTTGCACAAGAACTGAGCCCAACTAGAAGTAGCACTGGCGACAGCAGTGAAGTTCTGTTTTGTGCCCCGTGTGGGTGAGGAGGAAGGGAAATGTGACTGCTCAGATGCGTGCAAGTCTCGGTCCAACTTTCAAGGAGAATTTGACAGTAACTCTCAAATATAAAAAACCCGGACCCAGCAACTCCATCTATAAGGATTCATCTTAAGGAACGAGTGGTAGGAAAGGTAGGAAATATGACAATAAAGATATGTATGCAGTTCATCTCAGGATTGTTCCTGACAGTGAAGCATTGGAAACTACATTCATGTTCATCAGTAGGGTTTTGGTCAAATAATTGTGCACCACCACCACAGTGGAATACACATTTATTGAAAAAGAATGTTGATGGAATCTTAGGTTTAAAAAAAAAAAAAACTATGCTTTAAAAAACTTCAGGATATGCATGAAAAAATATTATCTTGTATATATATCAAATTCTCTTCTCTAGAGCTTCCTAGCTCCTCAGCTTAAGACTGCTCAGCCCCTCAAAGCCAAAGTCGGGAGCCTGTTACCTCTGAGATCCAGAGACAGGCACAACACACAGGCGGCCTTGCTTCCTCAACCATGAGGGTGACAGTGACGGTGGCACTTACACTGCAGTGTAGACCAGGCTCGCTTCGAGACACTTGTCCATTTGCTCCTTCAGTTTTTTGAGATTATTTTGCAGAGAATATTAACGTAATACACGTTAATACGCTCTTCCCAGATCCACTCACTGAGCCCATCTGGTGGCGTCTCTGTACCTCTCCTGTAGCTCATGGCCTTCCTGTCCTAGCATCACTCTAAAATGAGAGCTCTCAAAAAGTCTTTAGGCGGCTGATTTCGTTTGTGATGTCCCCAGCAAAACTAGTGACAGCTACAGAAATGAGAAGAACCCAGCACTCTTTGACAGTCTTGGAGGGAAAGGCGTGTCAACTACGTAAACCGGACTGTAGATGGCCTCAGACTGGGGCTGCTCCCATTCTCTCGCCCCGTATTTGGTCAAGAGGGAGTGAGGGGTGCCCCCAGTCTCTGGGCACAGCAGGTGTGTAGGGGGCTAGGGCCAGCCTCATGGCCAACTCCCTCTCTTGTTGGGCCCCATCAGAGGCTCCAACCCACTTGTACACTACTTACTCATTACACTAGTATGAACATACTCGTTCATACTTGTAGACCATCAGACTCGTTCATACTCGTTACACAAGTATGAACAAGCGTTACAGCTTCTCCAAAAGAAGAAAATCAAGTTCTCTCCCCTAGAGATAAATATAAATATTCTAAAAGAAGAAAATATATTTTCTGTGTGTTGCAAGAGAATTGGCACCTGCCAAATAGTGACACACAGCTTAAGAGGGAAAAACCTTGGGGACAGGGTTCTGTCATTGCCCTAGGGAAACTCAGTCTCTGCTTTTCCCAGATCTACTCACTGAGCCATCTGGTGGCCTCTCTGTACTGACCTCTTCTGTAACCAACTTTCCCCGGCTCATGGCCTTCCTGTCCTAGCGTGCAGACAGCTTTCTGAGACTTTTCTGACACAAGAGCCCCAGGTCTGTGCCCCACCAAGTGGAGCTGTGAGAAGCTGTTATTTCTGACACAAGAGCCCCAGGTCTGTGCCCCACCAAGTGTGAGAAGCTGTTTCCAAGCTGAAGCTTTTCAAATGGACTCCAGGACATGCCAGGGAGTCCTGCCCTCTAGAGGAAGGGAGAGACTCGGGCAGGTGAAAGCACTTCTCTGGGAACATGAGACCCTGGAGTACAGCCGAGAACTAGGGAGAAGAGGAGATCGTGTTTCATGCACCAGTTTAACTTTACATGTGAAGAAACCAAGTCAGGCAACCTGCCCAGCATCACACAGCCTTTTGGTGACCTCACACCTGGGAAGAGAGGTCTACACGCCACTGCTCTATGCACTCTTCCCTTGAGTGAGGAGGCGAGGAGGGGACCAATGGCCTGCAGTGTCCAGCCCATCCTGGCATCCCATGGGCCTGTAATTCTCTGCAAGTGAGAGTGGTGGGGCAACATGGCAGAACGGGTGGTTCCAGCCTGCTCGGTGGCTCTGGATTTAGGGTTATTTTCAAGTCAAGGCTAAACTTACCAGATAATTCTGATGGTCTACAAGCTTTCCGCCTCTGTAAGAGCTGGACCAGCCCACCGAGCTTTCTCAATACTAACTAGCATTTAAATAAATACCTTCACTATTTGGCAACAGGGGAAAGGCTGACTATATCACAGGAATCCTCTCCCTCTTCCCTAGGGAACATTCTGATAGCGTGTCTGAAGAAGCAAACGAATGTCTGCTTTGGTGAAAATGACATGGAATTATTTCAACCCAGGTTTAAAATTTACTTTTTTGGCAGGATAAAAGACTAGCATTTCAAAGTTTAAAATCTGTTTTATGACCTTAGAGTCATAAGTAGTTAAATGGCTAATAAATGGTTTCATACCGGCATTAGAATAAAAGCTAAGATCTAATGTATTTAACATTAATTCTTATTTTCTTAAATTTTATATGCTAAAACTGGGCAAATTATATACATATCTATATCACCTATATGGAACACACTGCATAGGACAACTAGACAGAGAATCAACAAGGAAATAGAAGACTTGAACAACATTTTAAACCATCTAGACCTAACACACCTATACAACCCTTCATCCAACAACAGCAGAGTACATATTCTTCTCAAGTGCACCTGGGACATTCTCCAGGATACATCATAGGTTACGCAATAAAACAAGAAACAAGTCTTAAAATTTTTAAATTATTAAAATCATACAAAGTATGTCCTCCAGCCTCAATGGAATGCAATGAGATATCAGTAACAAAGAAATGTGGAGAATTCAAAAATATGTGGAAATTAAACAACATTCCTAAATAACAAATGTGTCAAAGAAGGAAACCACAAGAGAAATTAGAAAATATTTTGAGATGAATGAAGATGAAGACACAACATAACAAAATTTATGTAATGAATTATATAATAAAACATCTATATGAGAAAAGTAGATGCTAAATCAATAACCTAATCTTCTACCTTAAGAAACTAGAAATAAAGAACAGCAAACTAAATCCATAGCAAGTACAAGGAAAGAAATGAAGATTAGAGCAGGAATATGTAAAATGAAGTATAGAAAAACAGTAGAAAAAATCTATGAAACCTAAAGTCATTTCTTGGAAAAGATCAACAAAATTAACAAATTTTAGTTAGACTGACCAATGAAATAAGAGAATATTCAAATCACCAAAACAGAAATGAAAAGGGAGACACTACTACCAACCTTACAGAAATAAAAAGAACTGTAAGAGAATACTATGAGTAATCGTATCCCAACAAATTAGATTAGCTAAATGAAATGGACAAATGCCTAGAAAGACACAAACTGTTGAAATTGACTCAAGAAGAAAGAAAAAACTAAAATAGACTAAAAGGTTGAATCTGCCGTCAAAGAACTTCCTGCGAAGAAAAGCCCAGCACTGCACGGCTTCACTCATAAATTCTGTCAAATGTTTAAAAAGGAACACAAACTCTTCCAAAAAGTAAGAGGAGCGAATGCCTCCTTACCTCTGTAAGGCTAGTGTTGCCCTATTACCAAAACCAGACAAAGCCATCACAAGAAAACTATAGACCATGTAGATTATATATTTATGTTAACATTTTTTATTAATACAAATGCAGATATTCTCAATGAAATAATCTGACAACATATAAGACTTATATGTACACCATTACCAAGTAGGATTTATCCCAGGAATGCAACATTGGCTCAACCTAAATCAACAAAAATCAGTGAACACAATATACCATATTAATAAAAGATAAAACCATGTATCTCAATTTAAGAAAAGTGTTTGACTAAATCCAACAGTCATCACAATGAAAACACACAATAAACTAGGAATATAAAAATTTCCTCAACCTCATAAAAGGTGTCTATTAAAAACCCACAGCTAACATTATACTTAATGGAGAGACTAAAAGGTTTTACCTTAAAATCAGTAACAAGGCAAAACTGTTTGCTATTGCCACTTCGATTCAACATTGTACTCAAAATTCTAGTCAGAGCAATTAGACAAGAAACAGAAGTAAAATGCATCCAGATTTGTTGAGGAAAAGGTAAAACTATTTGTAGATAACATGATTTTATATATAGAAAATGCTAAAGAAGCCACAAGAAATTATTAAAACTAGTAAGTTCAGTAAAGTTGCAGGGTATAAGATTAGTTTACAAAAATTAGTTCTATTTATAAACACTAACAATAAACCATTTGAAAATGAAATTTTAAAAATTCCTTTTATAATCAAAACAGTCTAAAATATTTAGGAATAAATTAA